CATCAAATTACTACATCATGTGCCAGACTGAAAGTGGCATTTTATGGATTCCTTTAAAAAGGTACTCATACTCTACGACTGCTTTAGGACATGCAAGCAGTTAATTAAGTACCAAGGCATAGTCTGTGTGATCTCTACTGTATTTTCATTGCTCCGTAAAGGCCTTCCTGAGAAGGAGACGGGATTTTTTCCTAAAGGCAAAAGACCCACTAAAGGTACTCTGCTCTTAATAACTGAAACTCCTTACGCTTGAGCTGTCACAAATTGCTAGCACACATTTCTGCTCAGATTGTATTTCCATAGGCTTTGACATGCCAAAAGGCCACTACCATTACTAATGCAGTGACATAATGCAGGAAGGGAAAAAAACAATACATACCACAAGCAAAATAATCACTCCAGAAGAAACTAATATGTCAGAATTCAGTCCATTCATATGGACTCCCTAAAAAATCCACCAAACCACTGTCATGCATGGCAGACTTAAAGAGTTGTTATTCAGCTCTCTGAATAACATGGAGATACATAGAGAATATTTAATACCTGAATAGGTATGTATCATCTGCCTTATCTCTTTTGTGCCTTCCTGCTGCAGCAAATTCACCAAGAGCCATACAACACTTTTTCCTCCCTACTCAGTCAAACAAAATCAGCAGTAATCAAGCAAGAAGTATCTGAGCATCCCTTCTGAAATGGCTCCACAGCTCAAAAAGGGCAGCTCCAATCACAGAAAATGCCTCATTCAGATCCAAAATTCGGTATTTCTCCATCTCACACAACAGCTTGCAGCTCACACAAATATTATAAGAATATCACCATATTTCAGTCAGGCAGCAAAATCAAGGTCAAATCTTTTTTTTTTATCATGCTGCTGCACTGTCCCACATGGGAAGCAAACAGGTGGAGTTTTCATTAACTAAAACATCCTGTATTTGAATTTAAAAACAAAATATTCAGAATTTTGAAGTGGACTGTGTTAATATGCCTATGCTTCAATAACACCATAAATCTGCATGCTTTTACTAAATACTTTATTTTGCATGTTTCATACCAAATCCAGCAAAACAGTTTTTCAGCCTTTATGTGTGATTTCCAAATGAAATAAAGAAAAATCTCATACTCTTGTGAACACGTAGTTGACCAGTAACACTGGAGTCCAAAGTAGTTTAATTCACAGATGTATTTGAAAAGTGATACTTTACAAAGCATCATGAAGAGAAATGCAGACACTTGTTTTACTTACCAACAGCTCAAAGTCAACAGAAAAACAAAATTAAAATAAATACCACAGTTACCACACTACAGCGTATGCCAAACAGAGCACAGAGGAATGACCATACATGGTCTTGGTCTAAGTCACACACAGAAAGACTATTAAACAAAGCAGAGAGTTTATCACTACAGAAGGGTGTGATTCCCTGCATTTCCCACTGAATTTTACAGTGATATTTGAAGCTCAAAAAAAGAGACTGACTACACAACACCAAAGGACAGTGTCCAGCTTTCTGAAATACACCAGAGACAACAGCATGCTAACCTGTCTGGATTCTGAAAGGTGAATTTCAAGGGATAGCTCCAAGGGAAGATCAACCACTGGCAGACACTTAACGCTATATCTCTACATCCTCTACTTCATGAAGGCAAAGGCCATGTTTCAAGCCTGAATGCCCATAATTAGGTAGAGTATGATGCCTGTACTGTGAAGGGTTAAGCACACTCTACTTTTTTGTCTGAAATTCAAGCCCATTGATTGATATGATACACTCCACCCCAATTCACTGAACTCGGGTTGTATCCAAAGAAATGAGAGGAGCAGGAGCATTGCTATCATGTAGCACCATTCCAGTGGAACAACAGGAATGGTTGTAAGATTCCTCTACCACAGGGACTTTTCAGAATGTCATCCTTATTTTAAAATCCCGAACCCAGACTTCACAACTGAAAACTGATAATGGAATATATCTAATTATGAGAACCATCCTACGTGTGATGAGCAACAGCAAGAAACTTATTTTTGCAGTAAGTTCTACATTCTACATTGCACCTTGTATTACAAACTTATCATGTTTTGTATGTGAAGTTATGCATATGAGTATATGCATATGCAATACCAGTAAAGAGAACAGTCACCATTTTGGAACGTGTTTGAGAATGAGACCACCTCTTACTCCCTCTACAGTGAAGAAACTTCAACATTCTTAGCAAAGCAATTAATAATTTCATTCTATACAATGTATGAACATTACATAAATGCAGTATTATTATGTTTGCATAAATGTCATAAACAAAACTTGAACTAGTAAAAAGGCACCTGACTCAGAGTTAGTGTTTTTGCAGTATTTTAACAATTTTCTTTTAGGTACTGATTTGTAAAGTAATTTGTTCTACCTAACCTATATTTGCTGGATTGGGTATAGTAATTTTGCTTTCTTGAAGACACTTACGAATATTATTTACGAATAAATAAATATACTCCCTTTGTTCATCAGGGGTACAATACCTACCACTGTAACTGTATCAGAGTAAGAACTAACAATTGACTTAATTTTACAGCATATTATTATGCCAGGATATGACACTAAAGAAGCATCTTCCCAGCTTCAGGCAACTATATTTGTCAGTATCGTGAAGCCTTGACAGATCTGAAATTACCAAAATTGTACAGAAAAAGCACTGTCACATTTTTACTTCCATTACTCTCTATGTAACATTGCAAGTTTTTACTTTTTTCTTTTCCTTAATATGATTACGTTTATTGGATATACCCTTTATGGATCTAGCTGTGAAACTTCCTGAAACACTTAGAAGCTTACCCAATACATACAAAAAAGTCGAAACTATTTCTTCCAACATACAAAATTATCCATATTACACTGCTTGGTCACCTTTCACTAGGTCCCCTGGTTAAAAGCGGTAAAATGCAGAAGAACATCTCCTTGTAAAATTCTGCAGACATTCACTAACCAGACTGCCCAGCTGTTTCTATCACAGCATTTGCCAATTGTGTGACTAAAGTACCTTAGGGGATTATTCTGTGTTTCACAGATAGTTTTTATTTAGGTGAGTATATTACTGACTTTCTAAATAGTATCCCACCACTGACTGGAGCCATACTCAGCCTGATTTATTAAAGGATCACAGTCCAAAAGGGGCAGACATCCTTTTTACCCATTCAGACAGGGACCACACTGTCCCCGAACCCATGGAAGACCTATGTGTTCCATGATCCACTATGTCAACGTTAAAATAGACAAGAGTCCAAACCAGCAGGATTTACTTCTCTTGGAGAGGACTTCAGCAATTTGCTCTCTCAGTAACAGCGGCTTACAGATTTAGAAAACACTGAATCTGCCTTTTAGCTTCAGTACAGAATTAAGGAACTCCTTAGGGTACTCCAGGTCACGTGCAATGGACGATGGACTTGTGGAAGCCTATTAAAAATACTGATGTGTCTCATTATACCATTGGTAGTGGGCAAGAGATTCCAAGACAAAGAGAGAAACACCTATCAGCAACTAAAAAGGATTAGTTTTAACTACCATCCATATATCTTTCACATATCAGTTATTTTCAAGTTGCCACACATCACACACCTCTGCAGAACCATTTGTAGTTAAATTACATTTAATTTGCTTGTCTGAATTCTTCTGTCTTTAAAAAAAAAAAAAAGGAGAACTGCTGCAGCCAGTAAAAACGTGTGTGCTCCTCTATGGCATTCAAAAACCTATTTCAATTAGCCTGCTCTACTGAGGGTATGTAGTATGTCCTAAGGCTAGTGAGAAATTAAAATAGAATATTCAGCTTTTTAAAAACAAGAAAAATATTTCACACCAAGGGTGACAAGTATGTACGTTTTCAAGTTTGAAGACAAACTGGTTAATTATTTATTATTTCAAGCCATAATGAGAATGCCACTCTAACCACAGAGTATCCCCTCTGTCATGCTGTAAAGCAGGGCCTGTTCTATTGTATACCTTCTAAATTTAACAGCCTTTGCATGCCCTAAGGGACCAGTCATTAAAAGGTCACTTCAGAAGTAAATTACCTTCTCCCTCACAGGAAGTATCTACAAAGTAAAAACCTAATGCTGACACCTCCTCACAGCAAGGCATTTATTGTCTGTTCCAGAGAGGGCAAGCAGGGTTATGAATCTGAAGGCAATAACAGAGACACAAATCAGAAAATGGAATAACAAGAGAATTGAATAGGAAAAGCTGGGAAGAATTCCTCTACCATGCACACTACACCTCTAGCCATAAGAACAAATAATGGCACCAAACAACATTTCTCCTACCATACGTTTCCTTCTCTACATGTCTCTATAAAAAATACTTCTGAAAACCAAAGTTTGCTAGGAGAATGATTAAAATTCTAATTTTAATAATAAAATTAAAGAGCAAATCATACTTGAAACAGATGAGAAGGCACTGTAGATAAATATTTTCAGGAGAGCAAATTTCCATTAAAACATCTTTCTTCTTGGTAAGCCTACTACTTGGCAATAGATTCCCCTCATCAGAGTGAGATTCTAGGACCTTCTCCTCCACAAAATTAGTGTCATTGACAGAACTGCCTTTTTAACAAAAAAAAAGTAACTCTCTGATATAACTGCAAGCCTTTCCTGGATTTACTGAACTCTCTAATACCTGAAAAAACATTTAGAGTGTGAAATACAAGCATTTAAATCCATTTCCTGTTCTCTCAAAAGAAACTTGAATTTCTAAGAACATCAAAATAACAATACTGTTTATCAATATCTCCCATACGCTCACTGTCATAATGTTGACAATTAGTAAATGAATAGACTTGAATACGGAATACAATTCAACTAGAACAAGCATAAGCTTGAACATGGCCATCATCATACTCCAGTTTGGACAATCTGCCACTAGACAGCAAAAAGAAAGGGGAGAACACAAATTCGGTGCACAGTCCCAAAGACTACAAATACTCAAGACAGCACTGAGTAAAGTACTAGGCAAAACCAAGCAAGCACTTACGTCAGATTTGGAGGACACGTTTTCCTCCATGTCAGAATCACTGGGATCTACAATATCATCAAAGGGTGGCAGAGTAGGCGTCTTCCTTTCCAGTGCATCAGTTTCAACTTTGACTCTCCCCACCTTGAGCTGAGATTTATCTTTTGTCTGTTTTTTGTCAGCTGAACAAGTAAGAATCAGTGGTGGGGCACTAGGAAAACTTTTAAATAATGAATCCGAGCTGGGCTTTTTTCTTTTCCTTGCAGAAGATTCATCAGTGTCCAGCACAGAGGGCCTTTTTGTGAGAGTCTTCTTTTCTTGCTGCTGCCCACACATTATGGTAAGGATAGGAGTATTTTCAGATTTTGGTTCCTTGGACATGGGCTTGGGTTCCTTGAAGGCCATCTTAGGAACAATTTTTTCATCTCTAAGTGGTTTGTTTTCTTTGGGTTTCTTAAAGGATTCTTTGGAAGATTTGTTATGTTCCCTGGAAGGTTCTTTGAAGGCACTTTTTTGTTCTTTTGAGTCTTTAGAATTTTTTTCTTTGTGCTCCTTTGTTAACTTCTGGGTCTTTGAAAAACTGTTACTACTGCTGCTGCTATTTATGTTCAGAATCCTTGCTGGGTCCTGCAAAGAGGAGATCCAAAATTTTACTTTAAAAAAAAAAAAGAAAGAACCCTTAAATCCTCAAAAGGCAGACACAATATGGACAAAGGATTGATATTAAGAACTTGGAACCACAGGCAAGTAACCAGGAGTAGAAATAACCATACGAGAACAGATAGTCCAACATTTGGTCAAAACATCTGTTACAAACTGGTGGAACATAAACAGTTATCACTGCTCGTCAAAAAGTTACAACAAAAGCTAGTTTTTACCCTAGGCATTATACATTGTAAGGTTAACATAGAAGCAGTTTAGGAAATCTTTATCATAACCATTACCTATGAGAGAATTAAAATCACAAAGAAAAATTAAGACATGGACCATATGATGTCAACAGAATTACAGGATCAGAGGAAAACATGATGACATTTCAGGCAAGTTTGACTTCTCTGCTGTGATCTTCCGAGTTTTGCCCGATCTTTTTCCTCATAAACAATAGCCCGATCTTTTTCCTCATAAACAATAGCAATCCTAGGTCCAGCCTGGCTATGGAAGAATTGATTGGACAGACAACTGTCATTGCCTTTTTATGGAAAACCTCCTAAAGCTGACAAAGTTTCATTCTTTGAATATACTGGCATCTCTGCTGAGTCTTTAATTACTTTTTTTTTTTTTGATTGAACTGTTTTAAGTTTTAAGTTTGAATTGTTTTAAGTGTTTCTCAGAAGGTAGTGACTTAGACATCCTACAGGAGAGGCCAAACCAGAAACAGCAGATCAGTATCTTCTGAGTATTCCTCATTCAGTTGAATCTGAAAAGTTGAAGTGGAAAGGCAAGAAGTCACCTGCAGCTAGAACCAGAAATAAAGGAACAATCCAGAATGGACTATACAGGATCCTTTCTTCTGACAACTAACACCTGGGAATATTTAAAAGACAAGAACAGTTCTAGCACCGCCCACTTTCATGGAAACTGCCAGTGAGGAGCTCTCAGTATCTCAAAACCACTCAGTAGACTAATTGCACTGTTTTAAACACTAAACACATGTCATATATATACAAGACAGGGTCCATTTTTATACTTCAGATCTGCAAAGTGACATCTCAATTAACAGGAACCCAGGGTCAAGTAATTTACACTGCTCACTTTTTCTTCCAGGCTGGTTATAAGCATTTCTATCTGTATGTTGCAACACTTTAATATGTATTACATACAGCCATTGATTTCCTTTACCTATAAGAGACGTGTATGTAAATGTGGTGCATCTGGCTGTCTAAAACTGCCACAGATTTACAGATCTGTAGAGAGGAAAACATTTTACCTTATCTTCCAACTTTACTTAACCACCTTTTTACCCACAACATAGACAGAAGTGCACAACACTTCTGCAGACAATACTGCATAAGTGCAGTGAAAGTAAAAGACCAAAGCAGGACACAGCCAGCCTCATCCCCCACAGGGACTCAGTCATTTTAAAAAATGCACACAGTACAACTGCTCTGGGAAAAAAAAATATCCAAGAAAACAAAGCAGAATTTACATGTTAATGGAAGTTGTGTCATTTAGAAAAGAAGACTGAGACTACTTCCACTAATGTGCTTCCTGTTCATAGATAACTACTTATAACATGTCCAATTAGGATGTGTTAAGTCAGAGTTTAATACTCTAGGACCTGAAAGGTCTACACAAAACATGTGCAGAAACTGCAGTATCATTCTTCTCCTTCTGTAACAATAGGTAGAAACAATTAGCTAAAAATAATTTCTTAGAAATGTTCTTACCTTCTCATTATCTTATTTAGTGAAACAGTCACAGTGCTGCATAAATTATTCAATTGCATGTTTTTATAAGATGCTTCTTGCATCTGTACTGCAAATATATTTTTGTGTCATATTTGATAAACTAACTATATATTTATATACCATGTATATCAACATTAATGTTGGCTGGAAGCATCAACAATGAACAATACTATAATTACATCTGAATATCTAAACATGAGGCACTTCCTGGATTCCCAGGCCAGCAATTAAAAAACAAAAATAAAAAAGTATACTTAGCACTCTGACATGTTTTACTTGAGTCATAAGACTTATCCTGGCATTCTTCTTAAAATTCTAAGATTAAAAGATTCTAAAATTCTTCTTAAATTATCTTAAAAATCTAAAAGTCTTCAATTTTAAGACTTTTTTCATCTTCCTACAACATGGAAGTTGATATTTTCATAGAAATCATAGTACAAATAGGGGACATACTTATGAGACTTATTTATAGCTGACATACTTATGAGACTAGACCCCTCTCACATGCTCTCTTAGAATTACCTTTTCTTAAAGGCAGCCAATCCATTGCTTTTATATCTACATTCATTTTCAAAGTAAACATACTATCTTTTCTTATTGCCTTAATTTCTGCAATGACCCAAAAAGAAGCAAACAATGACATAGAGGAGACAGCAATAGGAACATTAAATCTGTAAGACAGAAAAAAGTCAATATATATCCACCAGTAAATTCTGTCAAACCTGATGATGAGCATGGGATGCTGATGGGGAAGAAAAGTTGCTGAATATTCATATAATGTACCAACATGTACTATGTATCAGCATAGATCTTAATAAAAATTAGAATGTACTTTCAAACCATTTTCTTATTTATTAGAATCTGACAGTGTGTTTAAATGTTTCTTTCCACCTTAGTAAGTGTTGCAAGAAGTAAGAATAAATTCAGTAAAATAATACACTCTTTTCTCAACACTCTTTTCATGAGAAAAACTGTGATTGTGTGGCTTTGGCAGATAATATATCTGCACACCATAGCTTACATTTGTGTATTCATCAAATATTGAAGCAACTTAAGTCAATGTTAGCCTTTGATATGTTGCATAACAGCGTGCAAAAGAATAATACAGGCACATTGGCATGTCAAAATACCAGATGTCATCCTCAAGCAAGTAATACTATGTACTTCCAGTAAATCAAGATATATACTACTGCTCTATGAAAGGGGCTTACATATCCTTCAAAATATGTATTTTAGAAAGTACAATAAAAATCTAAAATTTTATCATCAAATAAAACCTGCACTACCCTGACTGTGGTACTCAACTCCTGTGCATATTTTGGCCAACACAGCTCATGTTAAGGCCCAAGATACATTCTGGGAGCATAGAGAACATATTGTAGGCAGGACAGGTGACCAGAAAAGCTAATGAGCCATTGTGCTGCCATGATCACGAGCCTGGAAATTGCTATCTCCTGCAGCCACCATGTTTGCCAGTTTCATCACCATCTTCTAACTTACAGGAACTACATAAACCATACCCCCAATCTGGAAGGCAGAAGACATCACCTCATCAAGAGAAGGTGAACTTTTGAAGTTGACTCCCTACCAGCTGGATTGCTCAGGCTTTCATGCTTCCCACTGTGAAAAAGGGTATGCCATACGGTGACAAAGGAGGAAGGATCAGCACCCTCACACTCAGCTAGGTAACTTTATTTTTTTATGGATCCCAAGTGCATGGAATAAGAGTTACAGGTAATAAACTAAGAAACTTTGTGATTTGGGAGGTAAATTCACTTTATAGACTAATCTGGGCAATGGCAACCAACTGTTTCTTGTGGTTTTGTGTTTCTTAACAAGCTCATGAAATTAAGTTTAAATCACAAAGTACATTGTCCTGTAAATTTGAGAGACACAAACGGACTGTGATAGCTGCTCAACAGGTAACATATTTGCAGATTAAAACACTTCTGTAGCTACAGGGTAAAAAATAATGCTGAACCGTGTATGTTACAGACCTGGGTGCTGACTTCACACCAGAAAATGGAATTCCCAATTTGTTTTAATGTGACATTGAATAAGCAGTTACTTCTGGAAACCACTGCAAATCTCAACTGCTGACAGATGTTAATAACCTAACTAAGAAATAGAACACTGGGGAGGGGTGGGGGAAGCAGCGGAGCAGGGGCAGTTCATTATATTTTATGAAGTCAATAAACTGAGCACATTGGCATGGCCTTGTCTACTGTACTCTGAGTTTAGACTACAAATTTAGTTCTAGTGATCATAAAAATGTGCATTATTTTCATTTCTAATTCAAAATATTATGCCTATTGAAATGATGTGTTCAAAATAAGCCAGTGGACTAGAATTAGACTTAAATATGCCTGTTGCTCTAAAGAGGAAAAGAGGAGAAAGATATCTAAAAGTAATTCCTTCATCAAGCAAATTCAGATTTCTGTTGAATACAAACTTGTTTATTACTGAATAGAAATGCTAGCTGATTTGGGGGCAGGGGACAAAAAAAACAAGAAAGAAAAGCCCAACATTTTGAGAGCCTCCAAAATTACTCCAGGACAGAAGATGAATTTACCTGCTTCCCACAAAAACCCAGCCCACCAAGTGTTATGATCAATGACATCAGAAGTATCAGAAGCAGATGGAGAATTACAAAGCTCACTGGTTTAACAGTGAAGGCTAACTCATAGCATAAAACAATTTATGTTTTTTCTGATGACACACAGGAATAAAAGCTTTTGTTTTCTTTGCTTATAAAATCTCATTTCTCTACAGCTGATACTACAGGTCTTTGCAAAAGACATAATCATCCCCCTGAAAAACCTAACCAAGCTGCTTCTCTATTCTGTGCATGTAATATTTCTATAATATAAACGGGCATAGCAATAGCACTGATCTAATATCTGTATACAAATATCTGTAGCCAACCTGCAGCTATTCTTACATTATGAAGAAATGTATGAAGTTTTCATACATTTCTGCCTGACATCTGTACTTCCAAGATTAAGGCTTTGTTTTGGAACTAAAAAACTGGTGCTCACTAATACTATCTCCATTAAATTAAATGAAAAAAAAGTGACTTCAGAGATACAAACATCTCTATTTAATACATATTTCAGAAGAGAATGTGACAGAAGGCAAACTGACAGTTGTTTCTTACTTACAAAAAATACTGTATTGTATTTTTCATAAGTGAATGCTAGACCAAGAGTAACATTTTGTTCCACTGGTTTTATTATTGTTACTTGAATTCTTATCTAACCACACAGTTTATATGGTACTTTGCAGTGGCAAACAGATAAGCATAAGGTTCTGTTTTTTCCACACTCAAAGTTTAAAACTGACCTCAAAGTTAACTGTGGTATTCACAGACAAAACAAACCAAAACTAGACAGAGCACATCAAAGGCCTATTGCTGTAGCAGAAAAATCCCAAAGTCACCAAGTACAGACATCTGGAGTACACTTTGGCATCTGGGACAAGCAACTTGTGCCCAAGAACTATCAAGACTTTCCTGCAGCTCTTATTGTAGAGGCATATTTAAATGAAATCTGGACACTGAAGTTGTTCCATCACTGGCGTTACTCCAAATGACAAAACGAAAAATCTATTCATACATTGGCTGGAGCTTTCCTACATTCCAACCAGAACAAAAACACTAAAGACCAAAATTCAAGGCTTTTCAGCTCCAAGAACTTGTAACAAAAACCCTAGACTTTAATGTTCTACTAAAACCAAGGTTATCTTGGGTTTCCATTTCTCAATAATAGCTTATAATTCTCAGCAAGGCAGATATTTATGAGATAAAAGGACAACTGCTCATAAGTGTGTGTTCCAAGTTGGACAGGGTAAAGCAATGACTGCTGGGGGGAGAGGAAAAATCAAATATCCACATGGACTGACAAAAACCAGTGTATTGATAAAACACCTCTTCCCACTATTAAAAATTCTAAGGATGGAATCCTGAAATGTGATGCATGTCTAACCTCCTCAGGTTAGACTCACATAGCTGCACAGTATGGGCCAAACTCTCTGCAGATGTTTGAGTTGCTTCAGCAAAAAATGAAAGATTTCAAGCAACATGGATGAGTGCAGCAAATACACACTTCACCCTCCTTCACTCCATCACATTCCACACTTGCCGATTTCCCACATCAGATGGAAGTTCACTAAATACAGTTTGGAAAATTACTTCCCAGGTTTACACTTGCTCACAAAAAACTGAGATTCAAGACTTACCATAGTGTACAGTTACTAGGCAGAGAATTAGTACAGGACTCAGTATCATGTCAGTACCGCCCTGAAGTCCTTCTAGAGGTGTTTGGGTTGCTTATTAACCCAAGCCTCAGCACACCTACTTTGGCATGGAAAGCAACGCATGAATGAATCAACATTATAGCTGACTCTTTAGAAGTGATTGGAAAATGAACTCTAGAGACCTACCAACCAACATCTCACGAACCCCTATTAGAGATGGTCAAGTGTCAGAGTAACTCATGTTTGGGATCCAGTCAGATGGAGATAGATCCTAGTGTAACCAGCAGCAAGCACCTTGCTTCAGCACCAGGTGTACCCAGCTTCTTTCCTTTGAGGCATTAAGCACTCATTTCAGCATCCCAAAATAAGCACCTTCAGTTTAATCCTCAGATTAAACCTCAGCATCTCATTAGGAAAATAACCACACTTCCATATATTTTTTAAATGTTGCAAGACCACCTGCATTAGAGATGGTGAGGCACTGATGTACAATGCACACCAGAAAGAGACATGTCAAGGAACATTTTTTGCCTGCTCTTGCTTATTATGTATCCCTACCAGCTTTTCTTAGGCATACCCTTAATTCATTACCTGACAATTCTGACAAGGTACAAGATTGGGCACAGAAAGTGAACATGAAAGTTATTAATAAAAATGCATAGTGCCCCTTTAAGTACATGCGCTGCAAGATTAAGTGACATACTTCAAATCTACAAGATTCCACAAAAGAGAATGAAAAGCCAAACAATTTAACAGAATGGAGAAAAGGGTTGCATTGTATTTCTAAGGTGAATAAAGAGCAACATGCTCCTTTATCTTCCCATACCATTAGTTCAGTTTGTCAAGAAATTATCTGCTATTTCAGAAAGGTTCATTTGTATTACTCAAGAGGTTCCTTGGACTATACCTTTTTACATTTGAAGTTGGGGATTCAGAATTTGATGTCCTAGAGACCAATGACACATTGCTTTCTTTGAAACATTTAGGAAAGAATTAACCTCTTAAATTTAAACAAAACTAAAAATCCTAAAGAACACAGTTTCAAGTCTACACAAGTATCTTGAAAAATGCTTAATAAAGGAAATTATTATTATTATAGTATTCTCTCACATTCTTTACATTTCCATAGATCACACTTCCATCACTGTAATCTTCTAACACTACAAGATACCATTGCAACTCCTTCTGGAACAGGAGGAAAACAACTGTACAAGTAATAAAACAAGAGAACCGTCACCAGCACCTGTTCTCACAGCCATCCTGAGTAAAGAAATGTCAAGACCTGCTATCATTAGCCTAGCAATTAAAACATTGCAAAAAACATGTAGAATTTTTTTTTTAATTAATTTAATTACTGGGAAAAACACTTTTGGCTCAACCATCTTCTAGCGAAGTAAGTCTCACCTTTGGCCCATGAGATGATTTCTTCTTCACATCAGAAAAAGACAGAGAGTTACTGGGAAGGCTGGGGAGATGAAGGCTCTGCCCTGAAGAAAACGATGTGCCATCTGACATTACCATCATCTGTTGTAAGAGGGAAAGCATGTCAGTAAAACATTACCAACAAGAGCAGAGTTTCACCTGCCTAGCAAATCACACTGGTAGGAGAATAAAAGTCCAACAAACAATATCCATGTTTCTTCTCAAGAGGGGGTAGTTTAATGAAATCACACTGATAATCAATAATTCATTTTCCCCAAAAAGAGTCTGTTTTTTTCCCATTATATTAACTGATAAGCAATCTCCCTGCCTGCATCCTGACTCATGAGCCTTCCAGCCTATCCTCTCTCCCTTCCCTGAGAGGCAGAGGCAGAGTGAGTGACCAAGTATCTTCGCCAAGGTTAAGGCACCACAAAGATACACTGTAAAAACAGATTGAGGTTTTAAAGTAAAAGCAGTATGTCTTTAATTTCAGCTTCTAACTTCAGGTTTCTGTCTTATCTAGAGTATAGAAAAATGTGTGCTGGTAAGCAAGCAGACAGTTTGCTGTTAAGAGAGTCTAGCTCCCTTTCTTGATTTTGAAGACTTAAGTACAGACAGATCATTTCCAGAAAGCACAAGTAAATCAGCTATTACTGAGCAGTCACCTGACATGTAAAGGTTATTCCATCCATCTCTGGGAAACCCAGTTAAGATCCTGTCTTCTGCTACAGTGCTGTTGTGTCTGGATTTTATGATTCCTACCACAGCCATTCATTTGTCTATTGTTTCAAGGCTCCAAATGCTAGAGACAGCTTACCTGTGTGACAAGCCCTGCAAAGCTGGAAAGAAGATGCAGAGCTCTATACCTGCAAGGAAACATGTCTCTCTTCCCGAAGGTTCCCATGCACAAAGTGACACCAGTTTTGTGGATTTCCTACGTGGTTATCCTTGCCTCTTCAGATGACCAAAACATCCTCTTACTCAAGGGACAGGAATGGGCTGACCCATCACATGCCTCATACACATTACATTAGAAATACTGGGAAATAAAGGACACAGATATGTATATTCCAATGTTACGTCTCCAAGTCAGGATGATCTTTTATTGCCTACAGGTTCCTGAAGACAGGCTTTCAATTAAAAAAAAAAAAATATTTAAACACCACTCAAAATGAATCTTGTTGCAGACCACTTTGCTTCAAAGAGACATGGTAGCTTGGGGAATATTAAGAGACATGTAAAGGTAATTTTTTTTTATCAGCCTATTTTCAACACTGTAGGTAGATGCCAAAGGGAGAGGAAGAAGGCAATTAAGCTGTTCTGAACCAGAGTCTGCCAAAAGCCAAAGCTCTGAAAAATCATCTGTCCAAAAGCAACGACATTCTTCTTGAAAACACAGCACTTTTGATTGTAATTAACTATTATGAATCACAATAAGTGATCCTTTAGCAGGAGAAATACCTTTTTATCTCTATTTGCCAAGGTCTTTGGTTGCATTAAACTCAACTGAATACAAGAGAAGGCACAAGCTAACAAAGAACAATCAGCCAGTAGGAAAATCTATAGCTACGTGCGTACCATAAACCTGGGCAACATGTAGAAAAAATGCATATATTTAGCATTACTTTCTCTCACAGAGGATGTCAAATGGGTGTTAAATAGCACTGTTTTTTAAGTCAAATTCTGCAGTATTTTTTAAAGCCACAAATTTAATAGAATATATCATTTGTATAAAATCAAAGTAATTTGATTTTATACAATCAAAGTTACTTACTAATTACAGAGTTTAAGCAGATATTTTATTGCCCAAAATAGTTTTGTTCATACATTCATATGATAAAAAGATGCATATCCATGTAGAAGAAAAATTTAGTCAGGAGAATAAGGGTTTGCCCTGAAATTAAAACCAAAGAAACAAAATCTCTGCCAGAAATTCTTTCTCCTCATGTTTGAAGCTGCCATTTTCTCCCTGAAGCATAGAAGTCTGATCCACTGAAACAAACTCACTGAGGTTTTACCACTGCATAAATTTTCTTTTTAAAATTCAGAAACATTTCAGTTTAGAAATATTCATATATTCATGATTGTACACAGGCATTCTTAGAAAGCTGACTTTTTTTTTCAAAGTGTATGGACTTCTAAGATATCTCAGTTTCTGGCAAGTATTTGGACCATTAACAGTCTCCATATTACAGACTATTTCAAAACAGGATGACAGTCTACAGAAAGATTTAGAGGGGTGGGATGAACAGTATTAATACCATGTGAGGTTTGATTCGGCAAATCTAGTTACACACAGGAGAAAATAAATCCTGTAGTGGTTTTAGAAAATAAAATCTGGACATAGCAAACCATGAACCCTAAAAATTTCAGTGTATTCAATCCTTCAGTGTACTGAAGCCCTATAAAAAATAGCACCTGTAAATTCAAAATTTTAATGTGATTACCAACGCACTCAGTTAAGACAGACTACAGACTATACCATCTTTGAAGCTGACAAAAAGATGACAAGAGACCAAAAGTCTCATGTAAAATTAACTCTTCAGCCCCTATGATAAAAAAGGCACACTTATCTTCCAAACAGATTTCTGACAGAAGTATACGCTCCTCCTTAAGTCCATTATAACACTAAAAAAATTAAAAAGAAATTACTTCGACCTCTCAAAGAAAGACATTAATATTAGTGCTAAATAACGTCCAATATTTGTTTTCTTTGTCAAGATTATCTATGTAGAAAGCCCCTATATTACCAACACCTTTTTGAATTAATATGCATTTATTTCCATTTTGGCTAAATTTAGGGAAGTGACAACTATACATCCAGTTTAAGTTTATTGGAAGACCTCAGCTGAAAGAATTACAGCAATTTCTGCAGTGGGTAGCTGCCCTTTGTCCAGGCATTAGTCAAACACAGAATCACAGGCCGGCACATGTACTTCTTCCAGCTTTCAGAGTAAGTCCCCATTTTCACACTGCTTCTACCACAGTGGCAACACACACTGCTTGACTGATGTGTGCCTCTATTAAACCAAGGCTACACAAGGGAACAGTATGCTCATTCCCACCTTTTCCACCAAAAATGGAAAAGGTGGGAATGAGCATACCACAGCAAGACACTACTGCAGCAAGAATGCAAGCTCACTGATAGCATAACAATAACTCTCCAGCACAGCTTAAATGCACTTTCTAAACTTTTTTCCTTCTTCCTGAATTGCAATTACCCTGCTGTCTTACACCTGCCTAGAGATACAGCTCAAGAGAAGGGAGACTGTAGCTCATGCTTCAGCCAGGCAGCAAAGGACACCAGCAGCTGGTACTTGGCTGGACTGACAATGAATTGCTTCAGTGACAAAAGCCAGGAACATGACTAATTCTTCTTGGTCTCTTCTAAAGTCAACAGCTAAGTGGGATCAGCCAGATTGGTGGAATAAGACATTGACTGGTGTCAATGAAGCAAGGTGAGACTACAGCAGTCATTAAGTCAGTTTAAACAGCCATATAACCACACTCTGAATTCACCAATATGCAAAAAATGAAGTTCTAGTTACAGTACTGCTGTTCCCTCAAAGGTTTTGCTTGACTTTATTTAATAGAGCAGAGATCTAGCTAAACTCAAAGCTTGCCTTTCTTGGGGAAATGGCAACAGTAATACACTGTGTAAAAGTAGGGCATTAGTTGAGCTTGTTCACAAACATTTTAAGTGTTTTTAAAAAGTGTGCTTTATGATACTTGGCACTGGATAAGCACCTGAAAGATGGCCAAGGAGTACAGTTGATTTCACCATTTAATACCAGGGTACAAATAACACAGGAACAGCAGAATAGACTGTGTGGAGAAACATGTCAAGGGAGGTGATTGTCCCACTCTACTCTGCACTGGTATGGCCTCACCTTGAGTCCTGCATGCAGCTGTAGACCTCAGCACAAGGACAAGAGTGGGTGAAAGGCAGCTGACATCACTTGACTTGTTCAGCTTAGAGAACAGAAGGCTGAGGGATGACTCTACTGCAGCCCACAACGTCCTCAAGGGGGGCTGCTAATCCCTCTCATTGCAATCTAACTGCTCTGCTGGTACCGATATCTTGCCTCTAGTTCACCAAAAACTCACTTCACTATCCTTCAGCTGTTGAGCTTGCATTTAAAACCTTTGTCTACCAGTTGCTTTAAACAAAAAACGACTTTGCCAGGGCAAAAGAAAATCTACTTTTTACTCAAAACCAGTGCATAGAGGAGATCCACTGATATTCACACTACAGGGTAGGAATAATAAACCTGAAGTGACCAGTATCCATAATATCTGAGCTGTTGGCATCTTATAAGCATAGAATGGTTTGGGTTGGGAGGGACATTAAAGATCATCTTGTTCCAATCCCCATGATGTGGGCAGGGACACATCAGGTTGCTCAAACTGCCATCCAGACTCCAAGGAATGGGGCATCCACAACTTATCTGGGCAACTTGTTCCAGTGCCTCCCCACCCCCACAGTAAAAAAATTTCTTCCTAATATCTAACTCTCTTTCAGTTTGAAGCCATTCTCCCTTTTCCTAACAGTACCTGCCCTCATACAAAGTTTCTGTCAGGGTATTTCTAAGGACATTCCAATCTGCTACTCAAGACAACTGAATGCTATGGAAAGAAAAACTGCGATGCATTTAATTAAAGTAGTTCCATGCACTTCTGAAAAAAGGAATGGATCAGGGAATGACTGTACACTACTGATTACCATAATATAATCAGGAGCCCTCCTCTACAATTCCTCTTCCAGCAATTTGGGGAAAATTATGAAATTGCAGTACCTAGTGAATTATAATAGCTTGTATTAAACCTACTAACAATTGATTCTGAAGTTTCCTTACAAAAAAAAAATTGATATTTTGGAGACAACATTTATCTACCAATACATGCTTGACAACTTGGAGTACCTGTGTACCCAACAAGAAAAACTTATTTTCAAAACAAAACCTTGCTTTTCATGTCCTTATAACATGAGGAATGTGGAACAATCTTAAAATGCTCCATGGAAAGCTGATCTTGTACTGCCCATTACTACAAATGCACAGAATTGCAAGGTGCTGCATCTGGGCCAAGGCAACCTCTAG